AGTCTTGCTCTGAACTGTCCAAGTGAGTACTCAAAAGCCTGCAGAAGACTTTGCCAGTGTAGAATTTCAGCACTTAAGATACTGAAGCAAAATTTAATCCAGGAACTGGCATACATAAAAATGGTTCCTAATAACTGGTCAGTGAGTGCACTTGCCCTTTATTCTGAATTTGAATGCTCGGAGTTGAGAGCAGTAATGCCTCCTTTTAGCCTTCAGCTCAATGATATAATCGAATTTGGGCTGAAATAGAAGAGTCATTCTGTTTCTTGCCACTTGATATACCTGGATAAATGCTCTTGTAGTGTTCAATAAAACCTGATCAACTTTGTAGACAGGCTCTTCCACACTTAAAGTGTATAATCAGAATCCATCTTTTCTGGTTTATTGTATTATAAAATGAAATGACAACAACAAGATTACATTTGTATAGCGCCTTTTACTTCGGGAGGACATTACATATTACATATCAATCATTGTGATTCAGTCATTACTTACATTGGTTTGCATTACCCAAAATTGCAAATTTTCTCAACCATCACCAACTGTTCGACATCAGTTTTAAAACTGATCAATTGGATAGCTCTAGGAGATGTCAAAGTATTGTCGATTATCAGTACAGAGCTGATAGCCAACTTTGCTTGCAAGACCAGTCATTGACAAAGATATCATAGCTACCAGACTACAGGTGGTCAATGGGCAGGTGAGCTATTAATGGTTCCCCATCTTAATTCTGTGCATCTAATAATTTAATCCTCATAAATAAATATTATCTAGAAAAATAAAACTTAAGTCTTAAAAATCTGTATTAATTTAAGTCACATATTTCATGGAGCTAGCTTTGAATCCCCTTTGAGGGAAAAGGAAATCTTCTCTGTGTGTTTACATAGTCACCGGTTTCCCGACAATCACTAGACTTTACATTATATTCTGTGAAGCATTTTGACATGTCTTGACAATGTGTTAAGGCGCTGTATCAAATGCAAGGATTATTATTATTATGTAACAGGACAGATCTAAACCTCCATGGCCAGTGCTAGATGTCAGGCTTCAAAACGCAAAAAAGTATTTGTAAAATGCCATCCAGCAAACACTTAGGAAAGGCCATGGAATCACCAGTGTAAATACAGGATGAGCCATGCCAATTTCATTTCAAATTTCAGTTTAAATATGGTCATATAAAATCTCCAGCCTTCCAGGGTATGTTTTATGTAAGAACCATGTTGAAGGTTCAGGAAGAGGCCAAGTGCACAGCAGATAATATATCTGTTCTGTGTCTGTACAGTGAGTCGGCTTCCCCTCATCTCTCCATACACCCTTTAGAGAAATTGCTTAAGTAATGAATGTTGATTTTTTTAAAAACATACTGCGTATCACAATCTATGATGCTGGTTTACGAACTGTGTGTACATAGTCCCAGGCCAGACAATGTCGATCGTTGCTTACTTGAAGGACTAGTTTCTACTTAACTCGAACCATGCCCTGCCTTCAGGTCACCATTCGTCAAACTGTATGCAGGAAATGTGCCACTCACACCATAAATTATCGTCAAATTAATGACATTTTGCCACCTCCCCCCTAATACTCGCTGCATTCATTCAGCTGTCTTCAGGAAAACACAGCTAGTGATTTACAGTACCAACCCTGCTATGGCATTTGGCTCTTTTGCTTTATGCGAATATATTGTATTTTGACAGAGGAATAGCTTTATTACTCCAATAACATAATGACAATAAATGTTTTTTTTAAAGTTAAAGGATGTAATCCAGCTCTACCTGTCTACTCTCTTCTACCTCTGTATTTCAACTTTTAGGTTTTATCCAAATTTTATATTTTAATTTACTCCTGTATTACTCATTTAATAATAATAATCATAATCCTTGCATTTGATATAGTGCTTTTCACGTTTTGTAGCGCTTTATATTCTGTAAAGGGAATTAACTGTATATTTGTGGGCAAAATGCGACGGTCAAATTGCGCACAGCAGTGTCCCACAAACAGTCGTGGATTGAAGTGACCAATTCATTATTGTTTTTTTTNCTTGAGGGATTATTATTAGGCATGTGTAGTAAGGAAACTTGCCCAAAATTTCGCCCTGCCAGGAATCGAACCCAGGTCTCTCGCTTGAGATTTAATTCACATTTCAAACACTAAACTTCTGCTATCCCACCATCCATTCTGGAGATGATGTTGCTGTCATCGATAATGGCTCTGGAACTCCCTACTTCACTCCCTTCGCTTTGCCCCCTTTCTTCCTATTTTCAGGTCTTGGCTAAAGGCCTTTCTTTTCGACCGTGCCTTTGGTCACCTTCTTCCCCCTCACCCTGGCTCGGCCCCGGGATCCGTTATTGTGAAGCGCTCTGAGACGCCGTCCGGCATGGAGGGCGCTATATAAATCCAAGTTGTTGTTGTAATGGGCCTATGATTGCTGCCTTCTGGGTTCAAAGACTGGGTCTTTAGTCAGTTCAGAGTCAATATGTCATTGGAAAGACCAGGTCAAGATTTGGCTACTGGTGGGAGCTCCAGTAACACAAGTTCACACATCAGCAATTCTCAGAACCAGCTGTCCCCGAACATCTTCCATTAGTGTAAGCCAAAGGCTTTTTACATAAAATCACCAGACAGAAAATGGCTAAGCATATCTTGAATCCAAGGGGAAAATTCTCCTAGATTTTAAATGTGAGGCAATTGTCAATTTCCTACTTGTAGATTGAATCATTTAATTGTTGGGTCGTGCAAAAGTTCAGCTGTAATAAGCATCATATTCCAAATGTGGGTGGGAGCGGGCGGAAGGAGTACAAAGTAAGATGATCTCTCTGTCAACTTTTGGCCTATGGCTGCATCATTTTCCACAGAACCCGAGTCATAAATACAACTTGATATATATTGTTATCAATTCTGCAGGTGTGAGGGACTCCCTAAATTGCTCTCACAAAATTGACTGGTCAGGACATCTCAACCTCCTGGCTCGAATGCTACTGTCACTGCTCTAAGCAAACATTGATAGTAATACCATAAATTTCAGCAACATTTCATTTATACTCATTTAGCCTTGTGGTAATCAAAACGAGTAGTCCAAAGGAGATTTATTTTCTGAATCTTACACTAGAGCTGTACATCTCTTCTGTTGCAGCACGTCACTCTTCTGCATTCTCTCTGAGGTGGGGTTGGTTAGTATGAAAATCTTAATGTTTTGGTACAAGGCAATCGATGTGCTTTCTGGCATTTTCTGACTCGGAGGTATTGATAAATTATTACTACTCTCATCTCTGGGTCAGAACATTGTTGGTTGAAGCGCCGTGAGAAAACTAGAGGTCCTAGCTTTGACTGATGCTTCAGTTCACTGGATCAGCACCGCATGGTCAAAAGCACCACATTGCCTTTCAGATAATATGTTAAACCTAGGTTTGGTACTTCTGTTAAAATTCTCTGTATTTAATTTCTTGTCTGCTTTTTTCTTTCAATAATCTTAGTTCAGTATTGTATTTGGTGCTCGCAACAATGTTAACGCGGGAAAGTATGTTGGATCTGCATCGCTATCGTATTTTCAGGATCAGTAGTTTCCAGTAATAGATCTTCATTGAGTAAGCATTTTGAGTTGAAGAGGGAAGAATTGTTATCTTTAATACATATTTTGTAAATGTTTGCTTTTTATTTCCACCAAACCCACTGATGCTCAAAAGCAATTCAGTTCATTTTTTAAATCTGCGTATGTGTTTTCTAAATATTTCAGAAGAGAAAATATTGGTTAAACCCCAGTTCTAATTAGATGCACAAATCCATAGATTTAGTAACAATTAGGAATATTAAATATTAATTCGCAATGTATGATGATATTTTTAGATTCATTTACAGATTTGGGATGAATCAGTTACATTTCTCACCTTTATTAATAATAATTATAATAATAATCCTTGCATTTGAGATTGTGCTTTCGCGTCAGGAGAATATCACAGGAAAGTGTAGCAGTTGTGTATTTTGTAGGTAAACATGGCAGCTAGTCTACTCATAATAATAATAATAATCCTTGAGTTTGATAGAGCGCTTTTCATGTCGGGAGGACGTCCTCAAGCGCTTCACAGAATACACTGTAAAGTGAATTGACTGTATATCTGTGGGCGAACTCGGCAGCCAATTGCGCACAGCAATGTCCCACAAACAGTCGTAGATTGAAAATGACCAATTTTATTATTGTTTTTGGAGGGATTATTATAGCAGTCACTTGTGCATCTATATTTGGAGCCTGGGCTGAGATTTATGAACCACTAGTTGATTAAATTAAGTTAAATCTCTTTCTACCAGTTTTCTATACCTTTTGTGTGCAGCTCAAGATGTTTGCATTGATTCAAGACACAATGAGCACTGTGAATGTAGAAGTGTTTTTGTGCCAAGCTAGGAAAGATAAACGAGGGACGGAGATATGAACCAAAACAATCACTAGCTGAAGAATTACATTCAATCTGTATGTATCAAATGTACAATATATCAAACGTACTGCCACCTTGTGTAGTAAATATTGAATTCACTGACATTCTAGAGATTGATTCCTGATTAACCAGAGACTTAGAGGTTAGTAGGAAAAAATACTGCTTCTGCTGTTTCAACAGCACTTTATTGAAGTACAAGAGATACATTATTAATATCCTTCTTGTGCCTTATCACATTGAAATATCTCAAAGCACTTTACAGTAATTTTTGTTAAGTACAGTGATTGTGTATGCGGCAGCCAATCAGCGCACCACATATTCCACAAATGAGTGAATTAACCTAATTTTTGTAGAGGATTATTGGCCAGAAAGAAACTCCCTTCTCTTTTTGAATAGTGCCATTGGTATTTTTTTAATATACACCTGAACAGGCAGATGGGATCTCGGTTTAATGTCTCATCCAAAGGTCAAAACACCCTGAGCAGAGCCCTCCCAACATTCCACAGAGTAGACTATGAGTCTTGAGTCATTGCTGAAGACTATTCTAAATAGGTTCTTGTACTTTCCTCTTTGCAGGCTGCACACGTAGCCATGATTGACACTCTGATGATGGCTTATACTGTGGAGATGATCAGCATTGAGAAGGTGGTCTCGTGTATTCAGCAGTTCACAAACTTCTTCCCAGCCACAGACCTTCCCTACGATATTGAAGATGCCATCATGTGCTGGATAAATAAGGTAAGCGTTATTACTCAGATGAGGCAATTCATTAAATAGGATTCGGACTGCTACCCCAACTGACTGATGAATGCATACTGTCAGTGAGTCTGCCTTTCCCACAAAGATGCATAGTACATAGTCCATAATGATGCATAGGACAACAACAACAACAACAAGATTCCATTTATTGAGCGCCTTTCACGTCGGGAGGACGTCCCAAGGCGCTGTACAGTTGGGTCAGGACCCGAGCAGGGGGGAAATGGTCAGGGTGAGGGGAGGGAAGGGAGGGAGCGAGGAGGGGGTAGAGAGTCGAGAGGGGAGCTGAAGGCACGGTCAAAGAGAAAGGTCTTGAGACCGGCCTTGAAGGAGGAAAGGGAGGAGGCAAGGCGAAGGCACTGGGGGATAGAGGACTGTACCACATCAAGCATAATGTTTTCCTGGAATCCAGCTCACTAAAAGAATTCTTGGTAAAACCTTAACTGGTCTTTGTGTCCAAAATATAGCTATGTAACAATTTGGTTTGTTACATTAGACAAAGTATGGCATGCTGCCTGGCTGCTTTTGTGATTATTCACCAAGGAATGAAAAATTACCTCACTCGAGGCTTCCACCTTCCAGCTCCCCTCTGCTTAATGATTAAAGTAAAGGTAATAGCTTAAACTATATTGATTTGGATGGAAGGAAGCCTGTAAGAGAATATTTTTTGAACAAACACTTGATGATGGAGCCTTGCTTACAGCATGTTTGGATTGCACCATTTGAACATTTTATTCTTTAAACCCAGTTTCATTAGCAACCCTGCAGGATCCGTGGACAGTCTCAAACTGATTAATTTCTCTTTTGCATGCAGTGATGGGCATATTGTAATTGGTATACATGCTGTGCTTTTTTTAATATAAATTGCTTTTATGCGCTGTGGCTGTAAAGCTTTGTGCTTCATATAATTAGAAAAACCGTGGAATACAAATGAACCCTGAATAAGCAAATGCCATATAATTCAATGCTGCACGTAGCTTGATTTTGCATTGCTAAGCATGCATTGCTGATGTGTGAGATTAGATGCTCCTTCTTTCCACAAAGTGGATACACTTTCAGTAACAGCTGGATGCTCCCATCCACCTAACAGTAGGAGCACATAAGGGGTTTAGCAGTCAGTGTATTGGAATATGTTCACAGAACAAACCTGCCAGGGGCACACTTTCTGTCCATCACTTTATTGTTGAAAAAGGGTGTGGTACAATGTCAGACATTTCATGTTTGTGCTTCAGCGGCTTAATAATATTTAATGGATGAGTCGTGATCCATGTTCCAAATTGTCTAATTGCAGTTGAAATGCTGATTTTTCTGTTTGAGGGTAACACTGGCTGTGTCTTTGTAAGTTCAAGTAACTTGTAAGAGCCGATATATGAGTGCTGCGGTGAATGACACAAGGAGAGAATGACACAGGATCCTCAAAACTAAATAACTCCAGTCGTGGTATTTCTGATTGCGGTGTATAGTCTGGAGGAAGAAGGAGGATTAAAGATATTAGAACCTTGGGTTGGGCCATCTTCTGCTGACTACTTATAAAAGGAATAAATCATTCTGAAATGAAAATGATTATTATACCTGACAAAGAAACTAGGTGCCATTGCTTTTGTTTCAGTCAGCAGTTGACCACAGGTATCTTTGGAAACACATTTCTTTCTCATTGGAGGTGCAGCGAGCTTCCGGGGCTCGCTGCACAGTCAGCACTTCATAGCTATTAAAAATGATCACAATTCATTGCCTTAACACCTTAAGAGCTGTTGCAGTGGTGCTTTACTTAGAACTTTCCCCAGAGATTGAGGAGACAGGAGGGTGGTTTGTAGAAGAAGTGAGTGAGTCAAGATCCTTGTTCTCATTTCTCAAGGGATTTATGTTTTTTTTCCTTTCCCTTGCGAAACAAAGTGCTTTTCCCCTTAACAGTGCACCGTATATTCCAAATGCAGTGATTATCTTATTGCAAGTGTGAACCTCGACCCGAATCACACTCTCCGATTGTAGAATACAACAACAACAAAATTATATTTCTGTAGTGCCTTTCACGTCGGGAGGATGTCCCAAGGCGCTGGATAGACAGAGTTACGGACCTGAGCTGGGGGTCGGGGTGGGGAGGTGGAGGACAGTGAGGGAAGCAGAGAGATCGAAAGCACAGTCGAAGAGGCGGGTCATGAGACTGGTCTTGAAAGTGACGAGGGAGGGGGCGAGGTGGAGGATCTTCGGGATGAAGCACACACACACACTTGTCTAGCCTGCTTCTTAGAAAGATCATTTGCATACAGTAAAGGAACACAAAGGAAAATACTGCAGTTTGATGTAATATCCAGTAGAATAAATGTTTTGACTGTCTCAGTGTGTATCGGAGTGGGATGGCGGGGGGAGGTCAGAGACTCTCCTGAGGTTTCTACTGCTAGTAATGTCTTCAAAGGTTTAGCCAGTGAGCAGAAACATGCAGCTAGAATTCAGTGATCCTCGTGCTGATTACTACCACTATAAATATCCCACACTCTGATCTTTCTGATATATAGGAGGATTTATTTTCTTTTGATGAGCTTTATTGCCATAGCTGGTTTATGCCTCTGGAAGCCAGAGCATGCATGACACTAATGAAATGAAGCCGCCAGATAACTGGCTGTGGGAAGGGGTACGGAATATGTTTGGGTGCTTTGAGGACAATAGTATGAACAAATCCCAAAAATTCTAATCTTTCTCCTCTTCCCATTCTGTTAGACATTTGGTCTAAAGTTGAATAAAATTCCATTGATCCACTTTAACAAAATCTCCTACCAAGAAGAGTCTGAAAATCACTCCTCCGACCATTGATCAATGTCACGAGGAAGGTCTTGAGATTTATAATGAAAAAGCATTGTTGTGAACTTGAAATTCTATTTCACAATTGATTTCAGGTTAATGGACATTTGAAAGAGATAATCAACCAGGAACAGAGATCCCAGGCTTCGGAACCACCAGGAGGTCAAAGGGTAAGTTTCCAGATATTGTAGTGTTCTGTTGGGAAATGGTTTTATATTTTAAGGATAGTAGCAAGACAAAAGAAATGATTTTATGAATGAATTTTTTTTAGCAATCCATCCCACTGGGTGTGTAAACCACTCTGCAAATTATGTAACAACCTTCATGGTTCTTTATTTTTTAAAAAAATCTGCAGCAAAACTTAGGCAAAAAAGCACACTTTGCAGAACTAGTTTCACGTCAGGTGATTTAGTGTGAATGCGTCCACCTGGAGTCCTGCCCCTTTGTCAGCCACTAGTTTTATTAATGGAAAAATATGCAATACTTGTGACCTCATTGTGCAGTTGAATATTCAACTTTTAAACCAATCGATATCTCCTGGCAGCTGCTTCAGCAGAGTGGCATACAGCCAGTGTCTGTCCCCTGACAGCTTGTCATTGTACTGCAGGTTTCAAATCCTTAATGGGGTAATTGGGTGGCATTCAGATACTTTGCTGAAGTACTAATCTACACCGTTGCCTACCGTATATTATCCAGTGTAACAATTAGAAAAATGTTAAGTGTTAAAGAACATTGATGAGATGCAACTTGATAAATAATCAAAGAATGAACCGATTATCTCCTCTCAATCTCTCTAAAGTTCAAATCCTGTAAACATTAAGCCTCTTAATCCTTCCCTGTCATGGACTCCAAATCTCTTAACAACCCTACACCCCCATCCACAGTCTGTCCTCTGAGGGACAGAATGAAGAAAGATTTTTTTTCTGGCAACATCACCATGCCCATTGGAATCAATTACCATTCAACATTATCCATTGTTTCACTTTACACTATGGATCTTCTAGAATTATATCTTAATGGTTACAGTTACTCCAATTTGTATTGTCAAGTTTAAGTTGTTGCACTGTTGTTATAAATGGCTGTGAATGTGTTTCGACGGTGGAAGTGGCTAACACAGTAGAAAACTAATTTGACCACAGTTTGCTCCCCAAGTCAATTGAGATGATGTGATCTGATGTTAAACTGTCGATCAGCAGGAGTTGTACTTCGCAAAATTTCTTCACCATGGGTTGGGAGGTAATTGAAAAAAATCTACTCTTCATCATTTGCTCATACTTCTACTTGACTACTGCTTTTAAGCCACTGTTTGAGGATCAAATGACGTCAAACTGACAGCTATACAAGAACTGTTTACAGGATTTTTAAAGAGGCTGTGCTCTTGCAAACATAATGTTTGAAAAAAATACTTAGATGACTTTGACTTAAATGAATGACGAAAGTCTGTAGGGTTTGTCAGCCCTCTAAAGACCAAGGAGAATAAAATCTACTTATTTGAAGTATTCCACTAGCTTTAAACGTTAACACTATCAAAGCCTATTCCACATTCCTCTATTGTTAATATCTTGGGGTGCTTTGTTTGCATTTATCATTCATTCATGTTGCATTCTGCAGCTGTACATTGTTTGTCTATTTTATGCGGACTTGCAGCCATGATGCTCAAGTGATTAGTTGCATAAAAAGTAGGTGAAACAAAGAATATCGTTGCATGCTCAACAATCTCTTGAATATAGTGTCTGGCTTTAGATTGATGCTCACTTGTACCACATTTTTAAATATAAACATGTGTTTAAAGTGTAGTAAACCATGTCCTAACAGTTGTATACCTTAAGCAGCCTTTTGTATATATGAACTGTTACTACACAGACGGGCAGGGCAGCACATGTCTGAGAAGCTGCTCTTTTAACATCTGTCTGTGTTACCCCTGTGTTCCAGCCCCCTGGATTTAGCAGGGCGTGTTGTAGAAATTTTACTTGTCTACTTGACAAATGATTGTTGATATCCAACACGTGTCTGCAATACTTGAAAAGTTACTGTCAGAAGTTAGCATTCCCAACACTAGTAACGTTGTGATTTTTGCAGACAGTGATTTTTCCAGACAACAGTTCTTTGCTGCCAAAGCTGAGGTTGCAGAAAATATACATCTGTCTAATATTAGTTGCTTGCATTCGTGCATTTTATGCTGACACGAGCAAATTGGCTTTAGGAAAGGTTCAAAAGTAGGAAACACCTGGGACAGCATTCTTATTCTCCTTAGTAAAAATCAAAGATAATAATAATAATAATCCTTGCATTTGATATAGCGTTTTTCACGTCGGGAGGACGTCCCAAAGGGCTTCACAGAACACACTGTAAAGTGAATTGACTGTATATTTGTGGGCGAACTCGCCAGCCAATTGCGCACAGTAATGTCCCACAAACAGTCGTAGATTGAAAATGACCAATTTATTATTGTTTTGGGTTTTGGAGGGATTATTATTAGGCGTGTGGAGTAAGGAAACTTGCCCAAGGTTTTGCCCTGCCTGGAATTGAACTCAGTTCTCTCGCTTGCAAAGCGAGTGCTCTAAACACTGAGCTACAGGACTCCACGATGAGCCGTGTGGTTTTTAATTGATTAATTTGTGTATTCACCTAATGAAATCCAATTGATTTCTTGGCTCAGCTCAGTTTTTGTCTTAAAATCTTGTCTTAAACACATTGAAAGATGTTCTCCCCTTTTTCTTTCCCTCCTACTTGCTCTCTGGAATTCAGGCACTGGTAGCACTCTGAACATAGCCCAACTGCCCATTCTTCATGGCTCAATAAGATAGTGAGTGTCAGCAGGTTATTAAACTGTATTGTGGGAACCTTAAGTTACAATGGAGCCCAAAACCGTGTCTGCAAGTGCACACTTTGCAGTAGCGGTCACCCAGATAGCAATATTAGCAGAAAACCTAATTGATTTAATTACCCTCATCCCCATAACCTCCTCCCCCCACCCCTATTTCTAGCTCATGGGCGCAAAAAACAATTCTAATGCTTTGTGCTGAGTTAGCCGTTCTCAGTTGGGGAAAACAGCTAGACGATGGGAATCAAACCTGTGACCTTCTAGTATAAGACTTGCTTCCTTTACCCACAGGAGCATAAGAGGGAGGGTTCTGATTTAATAGGTTTAACCCAAAGAGAAGACAGTATTGCAGAGAAATTCTGTCTCCTATTTCATGAGTGTTTTGAAGAGAAATGGATGTTCTTTTGACAAGCTGGAGGATGAAATTCTGTAACGGGTGTTTTTACATTTTCACGTGGTTTTAGTTGTATCCGAGGCAGACTAGTTAAAATAAATTCCTGCCCAAAGAGCAAAAGGCTCCCGTTTGTCATTAACCAAATCTATTCAAATTTTTCACGATTCACAAACCATGTGTAACCACAATTTTACTATTGAATTATATGTACACAGTGGTTTTCTGTGAAGTTAATGTTGGCTTCACCTCTAACTAGGAACGTGACTAACCTATGCAGAATTTCCTATCTTTTATTAATCTGTAAAAAGAAAATTAAAATATTCCGCATCCATTTGTAATTATTTAAAGACGTTTCATATATTGCATGTTGAACAAACCCTGACAAAACAATTGACCTTTTTTTCCTTTCTCATTGCTACTCCTATCCTTTGTCTCTCCTTGACGCTGCCTTCCTCTGAAGTCTCCTACCAAATGGTATTGGAAACTGGTTCCTGTAAGTTCATGTACTGAATACCATTTTGTGTTTGTAAATGATCCATTTCATATCCCATGCTGTAACAGTAATTTTTATGGCGTGTTAAGTTTTAGTCTGCCTTAGACTGAAAATTACTGCACCTGCATATAATCCTCCCTCTGCTATCCTAAACCTGAGCCAGACTGGTGCCGTTATACACGTAATCCAATGCATCCATCATCTCGCATACCTTATCCACTTCTTTATGTTTAAGGGATGATCCTTGGCTTCTGATATTGTATTAATTGTGCTGTCAAGTGGAAGGCTCCTAAGAGCAATATATATTCTTCAAAAAGATTGCTTAAAATTTAATTCACCAACTGGCCCATATTTGACTGAGGATTGCATTTTACATGGACTTTTCAGAAAAACTGTTAGCTGGAGATCAATAAATCTGTTGTCTAAGCACAGAATAGAGGTTGAATCTGGGACCTTCCTTGTCCATATAATTTACCACTGAATTTTAAAAATAATCCTTCCACCTCCACATATCCTATCAGGAATTATTCTACGTCTGTATATAAAGCTATTTTATATCTACTTTCCAATTATCGTATGCCTCTTCTCAATGCCTCATGGAGGCACATTAGTTGAATAATGTATTTGTGGCTCATCAAGTAGGGTTACAAGGAGATAGTGCATGTTCAACATGCTGTTTGAAAGATGTTTCTTGGTTCTATGTCAGGTTCTAAGTCAAGGAGATTTATCATTTCTCACAGTTTGTCTCATTCCCTCACCATTGACCCGATTCTGCCAGAAAATGAACCTCTTGGTCTCGCGAGCCTATTGGCTCTTCTATGCAGCCTCTCTTGTCTAAAGCTCCAGTGTTCAGAGAGGGGGCTGGCAATTGAACCCTCTCGAGACCTCTCTTAGGTTAACTTGAATAGCAACATTCAGAATTAGGTGACCTGAAACAGATGTGTATTTACATACAGTGGGTCACTTAGATTTAGGGATAATCTATATTGTGAAGCAGAATTGGTTTCAAATTGAATCGCAGCAAGTTTGTCCTTACTTTGGCTTTGATATAATTCCAGCAACAGCAGCAGCCATGAGCAATCACTGGTTTAGAGACTGTGATTACTGCTGTTTCCATTTGAGGGTCATTTTGCCTTAAATCGGTTGGGATACTGCAAGATGTGAAGCAGTGCAAATGCTGAGTTTAGGCAGCAATAAGAATTGACATGATTTTTCGTTCCACTGTGAGGCTACACTGCAAGCTTATAAAATACACACTCCTGATATATACACTTGTTCTCTGTTTTTTTTGTTGCATGTATTGATGCTCCCAGCCTCCCTGTACTTTCTCAGCAGCATATTAAGCTTGCAGTATGTCCCAGTGGAGGAGCCAGAGATTATATTAATGTGATGTGCAGTCCTGCTGGCAGGGTTTCAGTTACCACAAGCAGCAGGGTACAAAATTCTTTACAAGAGAATAACATACGTGGTCACATCCCCATATTAAAACATTCATTTAAAATTACCCATCACCCAATGTTCAACGTATCCAAAATAAACTTTGCTCAAAGCACTAGAGTACACTGTTCAATCATTGCTCCTCTGTGTTAAGGCAGAAATGGTTTCAGTATTGTTCAAATTGCAGCAGGAAATTCATTTCTAAAGCTTCACAAATTCATTTATGCAGTGCTACAGGCTTAAGTTCTATTTTGCCTTAGGTCAGGAAAGCCCTTAAATACTATGATATTGTTAAAGAATTGCTTATCATTTAGTTTTTTTTAAAAAAAATCTGATTTCCTGATGGTTGGTTTTATCTTATTGCCCCTTGTATGTGGTAATAGGCCCGGTACAGGAAAGATCAAGCACTACCCAAACAACTGCCCTGCATCCCTTCAGTGGAAAATCTATTGAAAGACACCACAGATGGTTGTACTTTAACAGCATTGATCCACTTCTACTGTCCTGACGTCATCCGAATGGAAGGTAAGATTGTAATTTTGCAAATGCAATCAGTGTTGTAGAATGTCAGCCTGCCTCATTTGGTAGCACTTTCATCTCTGAATCAGAAGGTTATAGATTCAAGCTCCACATCGGGACTTTAAACCCATACAATCTAGGCTGACTATCCAGTGCACCTGGGGAAGAGCTGCATTGTTGGAGGTGCTGTCCCTCAGATGAGAGACTTCAAGTTTTAAGGTATAGGGAGCGCCCAGTACTTCGTGTACCAACCTCAAGATACGTTCCAACTTTACATGTGCCTGATCATAGAATATAAGTTATAATTAGAGAGTCTGTGAGAAGAGTGTGTCAAACCAGCTTTGCCTTTTGTAGTGGTCCCTAAGGATATATAAAATCATTTAAAGTATATTTTACTGAGTTAATACATTGAATATCCTGGTTAAAATACACTGCTGATTAAAGCATTAAGGGGCAACAATTAGTTTCTGTAACTGCCTCAAGGCTCTAAAGGACCTTCACAAGACTGCTTTTGTAACTCAAGTAATTTGGTTGTCAGGTAGGTAGGTAGGTGTTCTGCTCCTAGGTTTCTGCTCTGTCACTCTAACTTTGCACCCAGAGATCCAGCTGTCCTGCCGTTCCTTCCATGATGACATGTTTCATATCACCCCAATGACCTGGCCAAATGAGGACATTCCAGTGCAGAGGAACGCAACATTTCATCTATGAATAATAATAATAATCCTTGCATTTGATGTGGTGCTTTGCACATCTTCAAGACATCTAAAAGTGCTTCACAGAATATACTGTAAAGTGAATTGACTGTATGTTTGTGGGCGAAACGCAGCAGCCAATTGCACACAGCAGTGTCCCACAAACAGTTGTGGATTGACTGACTAAATTATTATTGTTTTTTTTCTTGAGGCATTATTATCATGTATGTGGAGTAAGGAAACTTGCCCAAGGTTTCGCCCTGCCAGGAATCAAACCCAGGTCTCTCGCTTGCGAGGCGAGGGCTCTAACCGCTGAGCTATCGGGACTCCACTGTAATACCCGCTGTTGCAATGTTTTCTCAACTTTTATTCCCTAAAAATACTTATATACTATAAACCAAATGTCTGGATTATAAATGCGCACAAGTTCATAGATGACTCTTATTAGCATCAAGTCCTGTAGCTGTAGGAGTCCTGTAGCTCAGTGGTTAGAGCACTCGCTTTGCAAGCGAGAGACCTGAGTTCAATTCCAGGCAGAGGGCGAAACCTTGGGCAAGTTTCCTTACTCCACACAGAGCCTAATAATAATCCCTCCAAAACCAAAAACAATAATAAATTGGTCATTTTCAATCTACGACTGTTTGTGGGACATTGCTGTGTGCAATTGGCTGCCGCGTTCACCCACAAATATACAGTCAATTCACTTTACAGTGTGTTCTGTGAAGCGCTTTGGGACGTCCTCCCGACGTGAAAAGCACTATATCAAAATGCAAGGATTATTATTATTATTATTATCAAGTCATTGGCACCGATTTAGAATGTTAGCCCAACAGCCATGGACTTGTCAGTCCATAAGTGTTAAAGAGACATTGACACATGTTGACAGTCACAGATAGACTGATGAAACCATTGATATTTAGCTGTGCAGACCTTCCTAAAAAGAGGCTGGAGGAATGCTTCCGCAATTCTAAGACACTTAAACGTCACAATTATTTTTTTGTTTCCTCAGATATATGCCTGAAGGAGACCATGTCATTGGCTGATGGTCTCTATAATCTGCAACTGATTCAGGACTTTTGTCAGGGGTACCTGAACCAGTGCTGCCATTTTACCCTGGAAGATATGCTCTACGCCTCCTCCTCTATCAAGGTAACACTGGCTATCCCAGTTCACCTTATTTGCTTCACAATTGATTTCTCTGATATTCCATTGCTGTAAGTAATTGTTGAATTAGCTGCTACAATGTAATGATGTAGTGGAATAAAGGACTGATAGTATCCTTGCTTAAATGCATTACTAAATCTCATTTACTTTAAGAGTTTCCTGACTTTGTCTACTCTACCGTAAGTCAAAAGGCCAGGTGAAAATGCTGAAGTGGTCAGTTTTAATCTGCTTCACAGCACAGCATTATCAATGGCTTCACAAAACTCTGGTGTTCTGTCCTGGGGATGAGCTCGGAATTGACCTAGTTAGGATGAATTTGGATATTAAATGTTCTGTTTAGGTATATTTTGTTTCTTTTTAACAGCAAGGTTATCGCCATCAAGTGTTGAACCAGTAGCAGCGCATACAACTTACATTACATTCCAGGGACTTTTGCTTGTCACGATTTGATGCAGCAACAAAAGAAACCGGGAATTGTACACTGCTATTGCTGGATTCAAACACTTGGGCGATGCTAATAATAATAATCCTTGCATTTGATATAGCACCTTACCACATCGTCAAGATGTCTCGAAGCCCTTCACAGAATACACTGTAAAGTGAAGTGACTAGATTTTGTGGACAAAACACTGCAGTCAATGGTGCACAATAATGCAATAATGAAGATCTATGATGTACTTTAAGGAATAGTGGATAAGTTCAAGGAAAATTGGATCAGGAATAGGAACAAATTAGGAGCATAGCAGCAAAATAAATGCACAAAAAATAGAGAGTGAGAAAAGAGATTGGAATGGAAGGAAATTTTGCAAAAATTTGATAAAGAAACTAGCCAACATTTGAAATGTTTCCACTGCAGACAGCAGGAAAAAAATCATTGCTTTTCTTGCAGAATCTATGAAACATGAAGCCTGATTTTGTTTTTGGTCAGCTGGGTGCCTGATTCGTGTGGAAACTTATCGCCATGTTTAAGAGTATCCAAACCACACAGAGTTAAACATGCGTGCCACCACACAATGGAAATTTTCCTGTGTCTGGAATGGATTACACACTCTTTCTCCCTGATAGGGATACTTGCATAATTCCGGAAACAATTAGGCACAGATTGGCAAGATCTAGGGATTGGGGATCCAAAAGTGTGTGTTGGAGTACTGTTGGAGTCTACTCATATTGGAGCCGTTATTGTGAGCACTGCCTGACGAGCATGTCCTGCTAAAGCCACGCTGCCCAGCAGGGCCTTGGCTTGTAGTGTTTAACAGGAACTGAGTGCAACAGTCCCTGTCATTAGCAGTGCCCTTGAATACTGCGGACCTGAGACAGTCACATTGGGTTGATTCTGATATTCTGTTGTCAAACACATCACCTTAGAGCTAGCTCAGCCCTAAATAATCCTTGCATTTGATATAGTGCTTTAACATGTCTTCAAGACGTCTCAAAGCGCTCCACAGAATTTACTGGACTTATTTGTAGGGGAAACGCGGCAGGCAATTGCGCACAGCAGTGTACCACAGTGCACCCCCCCTCACCGGCGGAGGATAATGACTAGCTGATTAGTTACTGAATTGGGAATTATCTGATTGTTCACACAAATTTACCAGAAGAGATTAGTCCCTTGAGAAGAAAACCTGTGAGTTCATCACATCTGAGTGAAAATGGATATTGAAAAAAAACACTGCCATGTATTATTCCATGGGAGAAGCCAAATAAGGCATAATATCACCACTCAGCTATCCAATTTCTCTCTTTTACAGTAACCTGATGCAACAGTAATGCAAAACGGTCTTTGAAATATCCCTATGTGTAGCATTCTTCAAATGTACAAAAATGTGCTGGTGTTCCCAGTGCTAATGTAATGGTAAATGAAGTAGTCAGAGGAGCTGAGAAACTGGCAGTCATGATTTGTAACTACAAGAGGGAAATATTTTGTAAGTGATTGCTTGATTTTCCTACGGGTAGAAATTCAGAACTCCAGGCCCTTGTTCTGTGGAATATTCTGCTGAAAATGCTCCTTTGTATTATGTTGTTGGCACTTTTGGCAATGAACAAACATTCTGTCATAGCTCTATCTTTTAAGGGGGTTGGGGGAAGGGCTGAAAGTATTGATGTTTCTACGGCAACTCCAGGAAGCTGTTCACATGTTCGCAAACCGTTAGGATACAAGAAAGATCTGTTTTCAGCTGTACAATGGCCCTTTGCCATTCAAAAACTTGTTGAACCTATAAGCTTTGTACAGCTACTTGTCATTGCAGCATCTCATTTACAGCACAGAAGACGCTTAAATTGTGACTCCCTTCTGAAAGGCTCATCAGTAAAATAAACTGGACAAACTATTCTGGAGGGTTAAATATAATTCAACATTCACCAATCACACCGTTTCAATACCTTCAAAATATCCTGCAGCCTTTTGACATTCCTTCTGTGCTTTCAGTGTGATGCCTGACTCAGCAATAAACTGTCTTTAAATATTTCTAATTCTGAGTGAATTTATTTAGGTTTTTTTTTTTTTTGAAATCTTAATTCCCCTTGAAATAAAATGTTTAAACCATTGATTGAACGTGTTCATGGTGAGTCGGACATTAATGCAACCGTAAATTTAAGATGTTGAAAGAGCTAAGAAATTATGCCTATTATAGGTTGCCATTTCTCATCTCACTTAGATAGCAATTCAAATGTACTTAGTGCTTAGATGCAACTGAAGAAACCTAGAGGGATATTTTTTCAAACTTTTCTTTGGGTTATTCTAATTTGTTGTCATTTTCCCCCCATCTGCCCCATGACATTCTTAAAATCTCATTGCTAATCTGTTTCATTAGAAAATAACTCTTGAATTATTATGACCACAAACCAAAAATTTGAACTGCTCGTCAAGATTAAGCAACATTACTGTTTCAGGAAAGCACTCTGAACTGAGTACCTCCATTACCGTGTGCAGGCCCATTAACCATGTTACAAATTCCAATACCTATTAAGTGAATTTGTTTAAATTAAATATCATTGCATGTAATTGAATTTGCAACGCTTGGATCAGTGTGCTTGGATTGTAGCAGAGACCTTCTGTAGGTGTCTGCGCTGCAGAGCTGCTTTGCTATATTGTAGTATTGACCTTTTCAAATGTGCTAATCTAAAACTGAAAACCACAGAGTTTTTCATCTTGCTGCTCAAAGAACATAATTGGCTGCCACATTTGCTTTGGTTCCTTTTCAGTACAATTTCTGAAGCCAATGTGGTGAGGCAAACATTCCTCAGAATATGCACAGTCTGAGGACTGTTTCCTAATGCTGCATTCTGCCTCATAAAGAAAAATATCCGGTTTCCATGCACAAATCATAGTGCACTGCAGATCAAAGTATAGTTTCCCCCCTTATGGTCAGGCTGATGAACATTTATGTGCAACTACAATCGGTTTATAAACTGCTGATGAAAGGAAAATGGCACAGTTAAAATAAATATTGGTATTAAAAAAAACACAACTTCTGTTCTGAGGCATACATTACCACGTCTAGAACTTCAGCCAAAGTAATTATTGAACCTTAAGCCAATTTAATGCTGCACAATAAACCACTTCTGCCCAATTCTGGGTAACTGCTTGCTGGCCACTGTTCAAGAAACTAAAGCACACAAAATGTGTGCTCAACGTCAAGGTAGTAGGGTTGCCATGGTTCAGCATTTCTCAGAGTAAAAAAAACTGCATCGGTTGACATGCTGAAATCATGTGCCTGCCATCTGCTGTTGAGCAGATTGTTGTTCAATCAGTTTTCTAAAATCATTGAGTGGTACTGACAGCGCCTAACTTAGGCCTGACAGACAGTAAAACTAGTACAGTATTTGTATCTCTTGTCATTACGGGATATAAATACTCATATATGGCCAGTTAGTCTGTTAGATAATGGTGTTTGTTGTTCAGGGATGTTGCATCAATATTTAAAACTGGTAGCTTGTTAACAGAAAATGACATCTCGTTGCAATATTGTTTCTGGTTTCAAATCTCTGGTACCGACCTCTACTCTTGAACCACTTGGGTTAACGACCTCACAGCTTTTGTATTAGCCCAGTGCAGTGCAATGCTACCTTAGCCTCAAACAAGCTTACTGGTAACCCGTTCCATTCTTTCATTATTATTTGGGTGAAGAAATACTTCCCCCTGTCTGTCCCGAAATGATGCTTCCCATGTGTCTTCTTTTCCTTTTGTTTTGGAAACTGTCCCAGAACTGAGGGTATTTTGGGGGTGCATTTTTATTACAATTTTTGTACTGTAGAACCATAACATTCTATTTTGCTTCCCTTTGTATTCAATTATTACCTTGTATTGTACACTCCTGGTACATTTGGTTCAATGCCTTTGTTTGGATAGATTCTGCATTGGGACTACGCAGTATTTTTCCTTGTGAAGACTGACCTCCTGTGGTACATTCTGTATCGTCATCTTCATTGTGTAGATTGGGCAACATTTATGTCATTCAGTCCCTTTGAATACAATTAAACACAAAGTATCTTCTGTTTTCAGAACACACACATTTGTATCGTATATTTAGATGTGTATACGCTTGCTTCTAGTATTTGGTTTGCACATTGATTGACTGCTTGTAAATTTATTCAACCAAGTTTAAATCTTTTTTTCACTGTAGAATAATTACCTGGTGTTTATGGCAGAACTCTTCTGGTGGTTTGAGGTGGTGAAACCCCCTTTTGTGCAGCCTCGAGTGGTTTGTGAAGTGGAAGGTAAGTGCCTGAAACATCATAGCTGTTGGGTTATACATTGCAGGGCATCAGATAGTGATGACTCCAGGTCAGTAGGATAGAAATGTATAACACGGAAGAAGGCCATTCGGCCCACTATGTCTGTGCCGTCTACCTACAGCAATCCTATCACTCCCATTTGCCTGCCCTTTCCTCATACCCCTGTAGCTGACTCTTTTTAAGGTATCTGTCTAGTTTCTTCTTGAAGGCCACGTTCTTTATTATAATAATAATAATCTTTACATTTGATACAGCACCTTATCACGTCTTCAAGACATCTCAAAGCACTTCACAGAATATACTGTAAAGTGAATTGACTGTATATTTTGTGGACGAAACACAGCTTATGTTTCATATCTTCCTTGATGTTTTAAAGTGCTTCGCAGAGTTGACTAGAAGCCAGTAAAGGACATTGTGTCCCCCCCCCCCAGCTCAGGTGCCCATCCAACTTTGTTGAGGATTTTGAGATGTCGTTCTCACCTGTAACGCACAATATAAATGTGCATTATATCGTAAATGGCTAATAAATGACCTTATAACATGTGCCTCTCAGATGTGCAGTGCTCATGGGTAATATTGCATTGTTTGTCAGATTTGTAACAGACAATAAAACATTTGCTCCATGTTCCTAAATCTGTACAATGCCTCTTCTCCTTGGCATAATCTGATAATGCCTCCAAATCAGATTATTATTTACAAACTCCTCATAGAAAGCACATCACCCTATTTGTATATCACCTAAAGGCAATCTTACAAAAGGTCAGTGTCTAATATTTCTAGATTAAATATCTTGTAATGTACTTTGAGCTATCCTCTCCGTTCACTCTTCACTACCAGAAAAAAAGATGGATCCTTTGTATTTGAGTTTATCTTAAATCTAACTTTTACTCATAGCTGAACCAGTCCAGCCTATAAGGAACATAACCGCTGCTTTCCCAATTTCGAATGCTACTAGAAGGAGCTTCACGGATACTTCTCCCAGCTCTGCCTTCAGCTCCAGGTAAAGTTACATTGGATGACGTCTGAAAGAGATGGAATACGCAGCTGGTGAAGTTGAGAATGAGGAATGAAACAATTAAGGATGAACTTTTTACACAAAGAGTGCCACGAAAAGCTGGATACAGACTTATTGGAGAAAATAGTTACATACAGTCCCAATTTAATTAAATAAACAGGGAATGTCTATGTAGATAATACGTTAACTCAGAAATGGAATGTACATTTACCCAGAACATCATGAAAGCTTACCATTCAAAGAGACAAGGCCAACTGTTAACTTGTATATTTGATCCTATAAGATCCTCAGTGGAACGAGGCAACGCTCCCCTTCTTTGACTAAGTCCCTGACTAAGTGGAGTTCTGGAAAACTATGGAACTTTGTCAGCAGTCTTGCTGCTTTTAGAGGAATAGAGTTAAGGGGAGAAAGCGATATCAATTAGACGTTGCCAAGGTTCTGTCAGGCTCACAAATGCAGGCAATGTAGCTAAAAGATTCCACACTCCAATTCCAGTTGGCTTCTTCTCTTCCAACACAGATTTTTGGTCTTCAAAGTTTACAGTGTGGTTTTTTTGGAGTTTAACGTTCAGTCATTTCAAATTACTTCATGGAAGGAAAACAGTAATATTTTTTAAGATTATTTTTGAAGATCATAATTGTCGATGGGTAACATTGGATATATTTTGATTTCTTTCAGCAAAGTGAGTCCGACATTTTCACCCTCACAGCCCCTTCTACCCTTGAGACACACCCAGCAACGACCTCATTCTTCTGGTACAGGTAACAAATAAATTCCTGTAGCCTATTCCCTGGTGGGGGGAGAGAATTTCAATTCAACTTGTATTCACAAACTATTCGAAAAGAGAAAGGAGTTTCTCCCAGTGTCCTGACCAATAAATTCCCCAAATAAAATTGGTCACTTACTCCATGGCTGTTTGTGGGGCATTGCTGTGCACAAACTGGCTGTCATGTTTCTCCCAAAAAATACAATACAATTTTTATACAAATCGACTTTACAGTATATCCTGTGAAGTGCTTTCAGACTTAACAACGTGGCAAGGCACTATTTCAAATACAAGGATTATTATTGTTAACTAGATATGTTACTTTGAACTGCAATTTCCAGTTTGCCACCAGACTTTTTCCAGGCTTTTCCAACTGGGATTTGAGTTTGCCAAAAAGATATTATCAAGCAAATTCTATGATTTTTTTTTTCTCATTAAATTCCTGCCTACAGGAGAAATCAATCATCTTTGTATTGATTTGGAATAGAGGTAGAGACAATTCTGTAGCCCAGCTATCTCAGGTCATTAACATGCCTAGCAACCAGCTATGGTGCACAGAGACCTGGAGACATCTCACTGGCTTGTATCTGTATTTACTCATTGAGCCTTCCATTCCGATTTTAAGTACTTAGTTACATATATTTAGTGTTCCTGAAATGCTTGAATGGCGAACACTAATATCTAAAGGTTAGAAATGGCTATTTTATTCTTCTAGGAATGATGCGGCGATCAACATCCTTGTCTTACGTGGAGGGTTATGCGGGAACCTGGCCTGAAAAGAAACCAAGGTGGGTGATTAAAAACGTACAGTTTGAAAAGGCATTCAATTAATAATAATAATTAATAATTAGTATTCCTGACTTGAAATTTAGATAGGTAGAAATTGATTCCTTGCTTTTGAAGTCTTTTGTTTTATAATCTTATGTTGTCCAGAACACCAGGAGAAATGCCATTGTGTTTTTGAATAGTATCATGGGATCTTTATCATCCTCCTGAACAAGCAGACAGGACCTGAGTTTAAGTCTCAAGAGAAGGACGATTCACTAATCCTTCTTCACTGCACTGGAGTAGCAACCTAGACTGAGCTCAAAGCCCTGATATGGGGTTTGAACCCATAACCTTCAACCCAAAGCACAACCCACTGAGCCAGCCTGCCACGATCAAAATGTTTATGCACTTGATTTCCCTCAAAATATACAATCAATTCACTTTACAGTATATTCTGTGAAGTGCTTTTAGACGTTTCGAAGACCTAATAAGGCGCTATATCAAATGCAGGGATTATTATATATATCTTAATCTAATTTGTTAATCCATTAATCACGTGGCTTTTACTTTTCGTTGAAACAGGTCGTCTCCCCAAGCAGTGGCATTCTGCATTCCCTTTGATTCCGAGAACAACCTTGATATCTCCACCCCCAATAATCGGCCGATAATTAGGTCAATTAGCAATGACAGTTTGGTTTCGAACCTCAACAACACTCCCAAACGTTTAATGAGAAACTCATCTTTCCAGCCAATAAATGGGCAGAATGATGGAATTGAAGAGGAAATGCACTTACCTAATCACACTGATAAATCCCCTAAAAGTTCGACCAAGAGGCATGGGTTAGGAAACCCAAGGAGAAGATCGATGCATGATACCGTGTTAAATGGACCAATTGAAAATATTAGCGATTTGGATGACTATAGCAATAATATTGGGCCACCAAGCATTGAAGAAGCTCTGCAAATAATTCATGATGTAGACAAATCTTCGGATCTTCAATCAGAACAGCTAACTGATGGCTTTTTCCTGCATCTTAAAAATAGCAGTGACATGCCTGTCAAACCTAAAATGAACCAAGCCAGCAGCCTGGATTCAATTGCAGAGATTAAGGGCATTGTAAGCCCTATGACTGATAACACTGAGGTGGACACTGGGATTCATGTGCCATCTGAAGATATTCAAGAGACAATGGATGAGGATTCTTCCTTAAGGGATTATACTGTAAGTATGGATTCGGACCTGGAGGATCCTTCAAAACCTCATGACACTGACATAACCAACAGTAATTACAAATGTTTGCCAACTCCTCTTGCAAATTCACTGAGTACTGCATTGCACGTTGGAAATGCTATCTCCCCTGGGTCTGCAATTAAAATGACCAGCTTTGCTGAGCAAAAATTCAGAAAGCTGAACCACACCGATCCCAGACTGAGTGGCAGTAGTTCCCAAAAGACAACACCAGAGAGTTCAGAGCTTAACACCCCAGGCGTGGTGTCCTGGGGTCAGACGCCTGAGCTGAGTCCCCTCAGGCAAACCAGAGATACCGCTCAGCTGCTGGCATCTGAGATGGTTCAGCTCAAAATGAAACTAGAAGAAAAGCGCCGAGCCATTGAAGCCCAGAAGAAGAAAGTTGAGGCTGCTTTTACAAGGCAAAGGCAGAAAATGGGCAGGACTGCATTTCTGCACGTAGTGAGAAAGAAGGCTGATGGCATTTGCACAGTGAAGGAAGAGCTTGGTGATGAGAGTGAGAAATCTTCACAGCAGAAGAAAGTGTCTAAAGTGGAGCCAATTGATGAAAATGAGGAATTGAAAATCGAGGAAGTCGGAATGAACTGCAATTCAGCAGATGGCATCAAAAGAGATCTGGATGAACTACATACACAGGGCCTTAAGTCCCCTACCACACCAGTTGATTCAGAAAAGCAAGTTTCATGGAACTTAGCTAGCCCCTCGGAAGAGGCCATAGGAGAGGCTGAAATAGTGGAATACAACCGGTTAATTGAGAAAATGAACACTGCTTTACATGCCCTGCAACAGGAGATGCAACGTTTGGCACAACAGCAAGAAGTAATAATGCACATGCGAGAACCACAACAAGCCTGGGTAATTTCTCCCCCTCAACCATCCCCACAAAAGCAAGTCCGAGAGCTTCGATCTTCTTCAAGATCAACCGGGTCCCTCTCTCCTTCCCTATCCTCTTCTGGTGAATCACCTCGCTCGACTCAACGCTCCCCACAAATTTTGCACAGAAAGCCTGCGTACCCTCATGTTAAAAACTCTCGCACCACAAGGCCAAGTGAATTGAAAATCACCCCTCTAAATCGTGTCCTCAGTCTCCCTCGTTCCGTCGATAGTCTTCCTCACCTCAGAAAGTTCTCTCCGAGTCAGGTCCAAACGAGATCTTTCATTTTTCTTGGAGATGACGGGGAGAAACAGTCTGATCATCATTCGAAGCAAAAGTGTGAGGATTCAACCAATGATAAACCAGCAGACATCAGAGTGACTGATGAGCAACCCTCACACACAGACAAGGATGATGGAATAAGCCGTGTTGAGCTCTGGTTTGCTCAAATGCCCTCAGTGTCCAGAGAAGCATCTGTGGATTTTCCCGACAGTCCTGTTAAAAAGAAGGAACCTCCTAACCAGACCCCAAAGGCTGGTTTAATTGAGGTTTCCCTTTCAGACCTGAAACCTTCAGAGGAGGAAACAGAGTTGGATGAAACAAATGAAGGTGATGCTGACAGAGAGCACTTTGAGGAGGATCAGAAGTTATGTTGTGGGTTCTTCTTCAAAGTAAGTGCTTGTAAAGGTATTATACTTTCTTAGTTTGCAGTGTTAGAGTGAATTAACAATGGGACTGTCTATTTTGAGTCTCTGAGATGGAAGCATCACATTGGAAGAGGGGATAAGAATTAGCAAAGATGTAACACTAAGGTGAAAAGATATATATATATATATAATAGCATTCATTTAGTGAAATTGTGTTCAGTATTGTTTGCATACTAAGTGTTCAAATAATCCGATAATTGGGATACTGCCAAGATGTATTTGTTCTCTTATTCTATTAAATTATCCTCCTTCAAATGTTTAAATACAAGCAAACTGTAAAACAAAATCTTTTTAAAGGATGATCAGAAAGCTGAGGATGACATTGCCGTGAAGCGAGCAGCACTTCTGGAGAAAAGGATGAGGCGAGAGAAGGAGAAGCAGGTTCGGCGACAGCAGCTGGAGGCTGAGTTAGAAGAGAAAAAGGAAGAAACCAGGTATGGTGAGGACAGCTGGAGGACAGGAGACGAATATCTGGCTACTTGTATTCTAATATCTCAATAAAAGCTCCTTGCGTGTCGGCCTGGTTCAGTTGGTAACATTTTTGAGTCAGAAAGTTGTGGGCTCAAGCCCCATGTCAAGACTCAGAACTTGTATCGTCTAGGCTGACACTCCAATACTATGCTGGGGGTGTGCTGTGTTGTTAGAGATAGTGACTTTTGGATGAAGCATTAAACCAAGGTCCTATCTGCCTGATCAGGTGGATGTTAAAGATCCCACGGCATGGTTTGAAAAGAGAAGGAAACTTCTTCGGGTGTCCTAACCAACCAATTCCATTGGCGAAGGGAGAATATCTCAAAACATTTCACAGGATTTGCTGCAAGGTGTAATGACTGGATATTTTGTAGGCAAAGACGGCAGCCAATTTTCGCAAGGCAATGACAACACAAACGGTTCCGAAGAGGGCAATTAATTTTTATCTGTAGATTTATTGGCCAGGACATTGGGACAGATTCTCTTTTAGAATATTGAAATGGTATCTTTAACGTCCACCTGAACAGACAGATGTGACTTCTGATACTATTTGAGTGGAAACCATTTTCTGTAAATAGGTTGGTGCATCACGGGACTGATTTCATGGCAAATCGTTTGTTTAAACCTAATAACCTCAGAAATACAAGTTTGTGATGTTACTTGTACTCATGCTCTCATTTCAGTGCATAAGAGTACAGTTAATTATCATTCTAGGATGAGTGGGTGAAGGACAGCTGGATATTATTTTATTCAGTCCTTTACCAGATTGGATCCTTGCTGCTTTTAAATGATCTAACATGAGCAGTGAGAAGGTTGGCTGGTGTGCAGTTGAGCTACTGAGCTAGTTTAGTTATTACATGTTAACACAGCGCCATACTTCTGGATAGACTGCAGCCTGACTGTGGTTACAGACCACACACTTGCACAAAAATGATTAGGATGATTTGACGTCCAATAAACAATTTCTCCCTTCTTGCCCACACCCCAAATAGGCGCAAAGCAGAAGAGGAGCGGCAAAAAAAGGAAGATGAACGAGCACGCAGAGAGTTTATTAAGCAGGAATATCTGAGAAAGAAACAGCTGAAGCTAATGCAAGACATGGATAGTGTGATCAAGCCTCGTCCCACCACGTTAAAACTGAAAAAAGCTCGTCCAAAGTCCTTCCGGGAGGATGGAGAGCATCGCAGGACGCCTGTCAGGTCATCAGAAGGTACTTGGTGCTCAGTTTATCGAAGGGTCAGATCACTGGGGAGACTAGAATTGATGCAATAGCAATTAACAAAGTGGTGAATGTCAATTCCAGCCTGTGCTGTCAGCTGACTGTAACTAAAATGCCAGTGGGAGAAGTATAATTGGCCAGTGTCCTATCCTGATTGCTATCTATGGTGTGTGTTTGTGTACATTGGGCAAGGACAGGGTTAGGCTTATCTGTGGCAGTCAAATAGTGTGCCTCAAATGTGCCCACCAAGTTGAGATACCCCAGTATAAGGAAAGAATGGTCAAATGCTTTTAGGAGAGGAGAAAATTGTTGAGAGGATAAATAAACCCAAAGCATCAGTTATTGATGACAACACTTACTGTTTTGTGCAATTTAAAAAATGTGTATGAATCACACCAATGCCCAGAACAATAAATTGAAAATCTGCAGCAAGAAATTGTATTCCATTTAACAAGCATTTTATTCTAACTGTGATTTTGTTTTTTCTCCAGTGTCCAGTCTGTCTTTGGCATCACTAAACCTAGCAGAGACAGATCATACACATTCAGGAAAAAGAACTCCCAGGTAATATTAATTGTACTTAATATCTCAATTGCATGTTTGTATTTGGGAATAGTCTGACACCACGTAGAAATTCAGACTGAATTTTCTGTTCAGTAATCAAGTGGTTACGTCTGACTGCTGTTCAACTCTAAAATTCTTAGGTACAGCAAGTCATTGAAGCTTCTGAAACCATCCCTGAGGAACAGATGTAATAAAATGTATGTAGAATGCACAAATGACTAGCATAATGTGATCTTTTTTAGAAAAAAATAAATACTTTAAATAACTGTGGCAGCATACTTTGAATATCTTTTTATTTAAAAAAAATTGGAGTACTGAAGTTGGTGCTATGCTATGTCCTAATTCTAGAGATTAATTGTCACAATACAATGCAAAATTACATTTGTATAGCGCCTTTTACTTCAGGAGGACATCCCAAGGTGCAGGACACTCAGTGATTTGAACCCGAGTTGGGATTGGGAGGGTAGAGGGCAGGGAGGGTCGGAGGGTGGCTGAAGGCTCAGTCAAAGAGGAGGGTTTTGAGATGCACCTTGAAGGAAGCAAGGGAGGGATCGAGGCAAAGGAAATGTGGTATAGAGTTCCAGAAAGGCTGAAAGCCTGACCGTCGATGGTGGGGCGGGCCGCGTGAAGGACGTGGAGCAGGCCACAGCTTATTGAGCAGAGCGAATGGACAGGTTGATACGGGGTCAGCAGGTCGCAGAGCTGGGAAGGAGCAAGGCTGTGGAGGGCCTTGAAGGCTAGAATGAGGATTTTGAACTCTATCCTCTAGGTAGTGAGGAGACAGTGGAGCTGGATGAGGGTGATGGGGTCACGGGGCCTGATGCGGGAGAGGACATGAGTTCTGGATGATCTGCAGTTTGTGGTGGGAAGAGTTGGGAAGGTCTTCAAGCAGGGAGTTGGTGTAGTCGAGCCTAGATGTGATGAAACTTCAACAGAAATATTAGTACTTTTTTTTCACTTCAGAAAGCAGTAAAGAGCCTCCATAAGTTGTTTAGTTCAGAGCAATTCTTTATAGTGGGGTTCAAACATATCATTAATTTCAATTAAAAACCTATAACCTGGATTTCAGGAAGAAACCCATGGATAAAACAAAGCAATGTACAGTAAAAATAATGTTTCTCTTAATAATCTGGCCTCTAATTTAAAAAAAAGGTGTCTGCTTTGAATATTAGATTTATTATATAAACTGTTTTAACAAAAAACAAACTACTGTGCAGGACAGAATCAGTGGAGGGCTCTGTGTCACCGAGTTGTAATGCAAGTCACAGTGGTGAGAAAGACTGGGAGAACGGCTCCACCACTTCCTCAGTGGCCTCAGCAACAGAATATACAGGTACATTCAGACGTTCATTTTATACTTGGTGCTCTTTGCCGAGTGTTTTAAGTGCCCTTTTTTAAAAATCTGGAACCACTTCCTCCTGAAAAGTTGCTCAAACAGAAGTTTTGATGACATGCTTTTAAATGGTTGTCTCGTGGGATTAGTCAATGGGATGCAAGTCCATGCAGTGTTGGATAGCTTCAGGCTTTGTGGTGTAATTATCTCATTGACCAAACTGACTGTACACTTCACTCCTGCATGAACATGTACATCCAGCTGGGTGTCAATCAGGCTCAGTTGGTAATGCTCTCACCTTTGAGCTAGACTGGGATTGTGGGTTCAAGCCCCACATTAGGACTTTCGACTCCTAGTCTGGGTTGGCACTTCAACACAAGCCAAGTACAATTCATGAAAAAAACAAGTGCTCATTTGATCTGATCCAAGGAGAAGATTTCAGTGTTACTGCTTTAAAAAAACTATTTTAAAAAGCTAAAACATCAAATGCGTTTGTTGCAATTTATTTGCTAATCTTGTATTGCAGGACCAAAGTTATACAAAGAGCCCAGTGCAAAATCAAACAAACACATCATTCAGAATGCTATATCTCACTGCTGCCTGGCTGGAAGAGTTAATGAGAATCAGAAAAATAAAATATTGGCGGTAAGATCTGCATCTTCTTGAATTTGTATGATTTTAATTTTAAAAACTGAAAGAATACAACTTATCAAAACAAGTTACTTTGCATAGCCACCAGTCTCCCAGATAGAATTGCTTATTCATGGCCATTTGTGGGACAGTGCTGTCCAAGTTGTCTGTCATGTTTTCCGGCAAAATGTCACTATACATTACAGTATAGCCTGTGAAGTGCTTTGAGACCACCTCCGGCATGAAAGTCAAATGCAAGGATCATCATATAGCAGACCCCAAAGCTTTATGGGAATACAAATTCCACCTGGGTCTAGATTTTCTCTATTCTCTTGGGAATTCAGAACATCAATAATTTTGCAGAATCATCAATTCATTTATAATTTAATGACATTTTTCTGTAAAGTCCAGCTAACAGGGATTCATTTTGTCACAGTTTAATGCGTTCAGTACTAAATATGCTGTATAATGCTGAAATCCGTTTTAACATTTTTGCTCTGATAGATGCCAATCGCCTATTTCTGTTGCTAACAATTTGCCTTATTGGTTTTATTTAGGAAATAGAGAAGTCAGAAGCCAATCATTTTTTGATTCTTTTCCGGGATCCTGCATGCCAATTCCGAGCACTCTATACCTACAGTCTGGAAACCGAAGAGATCGTTAAACTGGCAGGAATAGGACCCAAAGGTATCGGAAAGAAAATGATTGAGGGACTTTACAAGTACAACTCAGATCGGAAGCAGTTCAGCAACATTCCTGCCAAAACGATATCAGCCAGTGTGGACGCAATTATCATCCACGGCCACTTGTGGCAGAATAAGAGACCTGGAACGCCTAAAAAACTCACTCCTTCTAAATCATAGTAGGGGAAAAATCATCAAGAAAACAATTAATGGCATTAAATAATTGCACTGCGTCATAACTGCCTGAGAAGGAAGGGTTTTCTGCCATCTTTTGTAGATCTGTCTACAATCTAGTTTGTACAATAATCGAAAACTGGACACCAGACCCTGCTTTCATTTTGCACAACTGGAATGTATTATGTGTTAAACAGGCGTCGAAAGACATCACTGTTGCAATTAGGTTTTAAAAGAAAGTTAATTGTAAAGTAGTTTGAATCGAATCATGCTTGTAGTTTTCTATTTGCTAGTTAATGTGACATGAATACCATTATTGTGTAGTTTCGTACACTGGAGCGTTGTTGGTCTGAAGGTTACATATTGAAACCAAACTGTAAGGCCCAATATCTGTAACCATTTTGCCTCCTCATTTTAATGTTTTTACAACTACCATCGGGTTCATTTAAAGGTATCTTTTAAAGGATCGGTGTTTTTTATGCATTCTGTCTTCATGTTAAACTTTCCTCTGTATTAGCCATAACTATATATCGGGGCTATTGGATTTGGAAGGCTGCTATATTACTGTTATTTACAGTTACAGATAACTACTGGTCGGGTGCCATTATTTTTCCAGAACACTTACTTGCTGGATGCAGGTTTTGTACCAGTTTGGGCAATTAGTTAGGAACTTAACAGTGTTAGTTACACAATTTTTACGCTATTAAAGTAAGAATTCTGTGCTGGCAATCCCAGCGTTCGAATTAAGTGCAGAACTGGTTTATGCAACAGTAGCTTCATTTGAGACTACCGATTGTGGCTAATCACTGCTGTTTACATGGTGCCCTGTTCTTAACACATGCAACAGGGTACATCGCACATTGTGAATGGATAGTGATGAATGAGTCTTAAGTGGATGATGTGGCCAAAATCTGACACTAGATTAGCTTTAGTGAGTGATGTTAGGATATGTGTGCTTTTTGGGGGAGAAATCCAGAGAATGAGATTGAGGAAATGGCAAAGGTACACAATTTTATTGAAGAACGGTTTTATTAATTCCATGATCAGATGAACAACCTGTGCATTTCATGTTTAAAACAAAAACTACAGAAAGCTAACTGACATTCCACCTTTGAGGACTCATTCCGTCGTAGATAATCATGTGCACGTTTATCTTTCTCAAAATGTCATGTACTTGTTTATTTTAGTGTCTTGGAAAAGTGAAACTTTGACAAGTCCATTTTTATATCCTGTTTGAACATCCAGCTGAAGCAGATGGCAGAAATTGTGGTGACTTTGTACACGGCTTTGGATTGCTGTTCGTCAGTGCAGACTAACGCCATATTCACACATTGTCTGAGAATCTTGTAGAAAGCAATACTGGAATAATCTGGATCGGAGGCATTTTTCCTCGTGTTACTGTGCAGGACTTGCTTCCTGCTTTTTTTTTCTTGGAGAAATTGTTATAGTTAAAGCAGTGCATCCACCTCCCAAGTTTCCTGGTGTTTTATTTGTGTAATAAAACCTTTCATCTGCATGAAAGTTTGACTCTGTTCTGTCTTACCTGTTCAGAAAACATATCCCCCACATTAGTTTCCCTGCTTTACATCCCACAGCAATGACCCAACCTCCCTCCCACAAAGTGTTAAGACGTTTGCCTTGTGCATTTCTTTTTACAAATCTGTTTTGAATATGTACAGCCTACTTCAGCTGAATGTCCATACCGGACACAACATACTCTCAATCTGTTTCGCTAACTCTATTGAACTGTGTACGTCCCTCTCTCTCACACTCTTCTGCCTGCTCTCTTTGCCTTATTCTTTGTTAATGCCGTGTGTTGGTGTAAATGACATGCTCTCTCTCTCTGAAGGTGTGGATGTATGTGTAATGAGTTTGCTTGCTTGCTTTGAGATTTATTCTATGTAGCATTTCTGAGCGTCCAGAATGTGGAGGATTTTTAAATAGTTTTAATTTTTAAGCTTTTTTTTCTGTGAGTTTCAAGAACTGCAGTACAGGGTTGAATTCAGTAATTTGTCGAAGCTACTAAATAGTAAGAAAATAGTCAATCTCGACCCAGGTGGACTTTCTCCTCTTTGTATATACTTGATTTTTACCTATGGGTTCAGTCTACTTTAATCAAAACCTAGCAGAAAGTCTGTCTGCAAAGATTTCAGTTCCAGACCCAGGTACTTGGAATTGCTTTTCTGATTTAAGTTTTAGTTTGAGTGTGTCCATCATTGCATTCTGTTCTTCCCAAAATGTACATTTACAACTGAATGAGTTCTGAATGTGTTGCTTTATTTTATTTTATGTCTGGGATGTTTAGGATATATTATTAAACACAAAGAAGGCTGCAGTGTAGCAAACTGAACATCAAATATCCTCACCCACATTGGAGCACCCAGTTGCACTTGTTAAAGACAAGTAGGGAATCATAAAGTACTGTACAACATTTTAGTAATTCAGTAGCAGGCATAAGGCTTGAAGTTTAATTTTTGTATATAGGGAAACATTCAACAATTTTTGCTTGAGGCTAGGAGTAGTAAATCTATTCCTGTTCTTGCTGCATGCATGTTTTGAAGTGGCGCCTGTGCAGTTCAGAACTGCTCTCATACATTGTCTCAGCACTAAGAAAAAGTACAATATTTAAAAGTTTAACCTGCACAATCTTTCTCTCGGATGAAGCTGTTACTCGCAGCTTTTTTAATTTGTTCTTCATCTGGAATTGTGCAAACTGAAAATGTGAGAAATTTGAAATTCTGGAATTACTGGTTGAAATCAGCTTTCATTTGTCTAATGGTCATGAGCCAGAATAAGAATTGGAGGTGGGGGAGAGATACAGAGAAATAGACAGACCAGCAATGATTTAAGTCAACATAATTGCTGTGGGACCTGTATTTCACTGACATTCGCTCTAATGTGATTAACTTTTTTGTTAGTTCTATATGCAACACCTACTAGTTGCAGGTGAGGAACAGCACCACCTGATATTTTACTGGTTAGTTATATTACTCTGATAAAGCTGTAGCTCTCTCTAGGGTGCCATTTGAACTTAACGGCAAAAAGGTCTGTTTAATAATATACGTAAATTATTTATGTTCCTATATTTCTGTATATTTTGTGAACTTTGAAGCAAACCTCCAGTTGTGGGCATGAATGTTGATATTCCTAGTAAGTGACAGACTGTTCTTTTATCCTTACTATAGGAAATTACATTGGCTGCAACTTCAAAGTACCGTTTGCATGTTACAGAAGTTTAACTAAGTGTAATGACTTGTATAGATGGACATGTGCATAAGGTGATTTGAGGAACTTGCTTTCTTATCCACATTCTACTAATTGAACACACTGCTCTCCACATCCTAAAATGCTTCCATGTACGAACAGCTGTGCGGGTGAAAGTTTAACAAATTGGCTGCTGCATTTACCTACAAATAGTCACTACACACGACAGTAAAAATCCTGTGAAGCGGCTTGAGACATTTTGTCAATGTAATGAGGCGTTATATTAAATACAAAGATGGCTATTATAAATAAAACCTGCAATTTAATTATCTTTAACAAGTGGAATTTCTTTCCATATTGATGTAAAAATGTTGAATCAACAAGTTCATCAGTTCATTACACAACTGTCCATGCTGCATTTCTGTGCTGACAAGAAAAGAAGGGGTGAAGAGCCCCAATTTCTGCTTCTCACAGGTGCAGGAAAGGAGTCCAAGAACCATTTGTCTCCCATCCAAACTGTCCATCCCAGACTGCTGAAAGTAACTCTTCATTCTTGTCTTTCCATATGAATCCCACTGAAATTAAAGCTCGCTATTGGCAAATAGTGAGCCAGCACTTTATGCTCAACTCACTTTAAAGCACCTTGGTGCTGCACCATCAGATAGCTTGTATAGATTTTTCTTAAATAAATCATTACATTTCCAAGGCTCAGTCACTTAGCTCTATAACAAACAAAACTAAAAGCAGATAGTTATTAAAATGTTGTTGTAAATAAAAGTTTGCGGATCAATGCAAGGGTTGCTATTCCTGAAAATCGAGATGTTTGACATTCCGGTGTATTTGGAGAGTATTGCATAGTGTGTTTAAAAGGACACGCAATGGGTCACATTCCCAACCTAAAGCTATTGTTCAGTCATTGTTGACGAATGAATCCAGAGCACGGAAGAAAGTCTCGAGGCAATGGAGTCACTTGTGTCTTTGTTTGGTTCTAAAACATATTGGAAAGGCTTGTATTGGGACAGGATCTTGCGAAAACTGGTGCTTTCATTGAGGTATATTTATAGACTTTGTGAAATACAGTACATTTGTTTCTCCAACTAAATTGAGTCCTGTGGCTCAGTGGTTAGAGCACTCGCTTTGCAAGCGAGAGACCTGAGTTCAATTCCAGGCAGGGTGAAACCTTGGGCAAGTTTCCTTACTCCACACGCCTAATAATAATCCCTCCAAAACCAAAAACAATAATAAAATTGGTCATTTTCAATCCACGACTGTTTGTGGGACATTGCTGTGCGCAATTGGCTGCCGCGTTCGCCCACAAATATACAGTCAATTCACTTTACAGTGTGTTCTGTGAAGCGCTTTGGGACGTCCTCCCGACGTGAAAAACTCTATATCAAATGCAAGGATTATTATTATTATTTAATGTTGACAGTCACAACAGTTACTGAAATCATTTGGTTTCTTTGTTTTTGGTGGTTTAGTTTAGGCTAATTGTTACAATCACAGTTTTGGCTGTTTCAAGCCAAAATGGACTATTTAATTTTTATTAAGGACCACCATTGCTCAGTGTACACTGCGTTGTATGTTCAGACTTGATAATCTCTCCTCTTGGGCGGAGTGCCACTTCCGTTTATCAGATGCTGTGCTGTTTAATTCTGTCATGCCATCATTTATTTTGCTAGTTACTAGTACTGTGAATTTTTTTCATTGAATAAAATGAATAAAGCATGGCATCTTGAATAGTTTTCTTGGGTGTTCTTTGGAAAGCATGAGTCACAAATGTGCAAGATCTCTGAAAGATCCTGACTTTTTTTGTACGAATGAGTAAACCTTTAGTCATGTTCTTTTTATTCTGTCTCTAGGTTTGCCTTAAAGTTGACATTCATTTTAAAAGTGAATTCCCAGGGTAACACCTTACTTCTTTATTTTTGAGTCTAAGTGAGTCATATGATAAAACTCTTCTATTCTCCAATCTATGTTTTATAGCCTTCATTTTATTGTTCATTTCATGTCAATTTATTACTGCTGGATAATATCAACAGCAAAATTTCACAATATCCTGTAAAGCTTGAATATTGCCATTAGAACCCATTACTCAATGTTAAGATCAAAACGGTGATAACTACCAGCCACTGGTATCTGTGTAAGAAGAATAATGGCCTCAAGAAGAGCCTTAGCAATGGTTGTAATGTGAGTTTAGCAACCTGCTTCACTGCAATAACGGGCCTGGAAAGGTTGTTTTCATTTTCCATGAATTCTTCTCTCCTGCCATTAGCCACATATCTACTAAACTTCCATCAAGGACAGACTGTGATTGATTGAGTGACACAAGCCAACATAGCAATATCAGCAACCTCTGTTAAACAATACAGTAAGTTGCTTAACATTGGAATACTTTTATAAGAGCTGGAATCAATGGTAGTCCGTGCCACATCTTTTTATGCAGCATCACAGTATTTTAAATGCTGCTCAATGGTTTCATCAAAATAATAAATAAATAATTCTGATACTTGATGTAGAACTTTCACATCAGGAAAGTGAGGTCACGTCTGTCTCAAAGTGCTTCACAGGATATACTGTAAAATGGAATGATTATACGTTGTAGACTAACTTGGCAGCCAATTTGCAGGAACTCAATTTAAGAACTCATCTGAAGAACTGTGCCTCCAACAATCCAGCACACTCTCAGCATAGTACTGGAGTGTCAGCTGTGACTATATGTGTTCATGGTCCCCACTTAGGGCTTTGAGCTCACAGTCCTCTGACTCAGAGGCAAGAATGCAACCAACTGAGCCAGGCTGACACCTAAACATCACAATACGGGTAACGTAATATTACAAAAGATAATTTTAGTCAGTAAATTATGGTAATTTTTGAATGCTTTTGTCACTGGTTTCTACGTCTGAGCTAAAGCATTGTATATCTTTTTCAGCAAATGTTGCCCTGAAATAAGCTTTCTACTCAGAACAAAAATCCAGGAAATGTTGTGTTTGGGTGGGGTGGGATAGCCAGTTTCTCCCTTGGTTCCTAATTTAGGACAATTTTAGCAGCATTAGCAAAGCTGCAATTTGCTACTTTCAACAATGTAATGTTTCCATTAAAAAAATGCAATATAGTAATGAGGTCAGAAGCATTTGGTATCCAAATATGTAAAATGTGTAATAACAACTTTTAAGAGAGAAGTAGATAATTACTTGGGGAGGACAAGTTTGCAGGGCTATGGGAAGAAAACGGGGGAGTGGGATTGATTTGGATAACTCTTTTAAAAGAGCCAGCACAGACACGCTGGGCTGAATGGCCTCCTTCTGTGCTGTAAA